GTGATTTTTGATTTAATCTTTTCACCCTCCAGATAATAGGAAGGACATTTGACGTCATTTGCGCTATGGAATATATCAAAATTTCTACGGAGATGGTTATTATTTACCTTGCAATTAATACATCTTGAGTTTAAATCCTGGCACTGGGTAACAAGGTGGCATTCACCACAGAACATGCAATGGGTCCAGTTCGAGCAATATTTGTAGTTGTGATTAAAATTTTGACAATTAGTGCAGCATCTAATTCCATTGTTTTCCATGATACGGATGAATTTGCAGTCGATTGATATTGTTTTTAATTTTTGTAGATTATTGAAGGCTGACGGTGTACATTCTAAGATCTATTTCGATGTGTTTCCTGAGCGTTCCGAAAGTTTACGGATAAGAGTAAATGAATGACTTTGCAGGCTTGCAGTCGATGTCAATAAGTTGATAATATCTAGCTCTGAATATTGAGCGGTAACATAATGTAGATTGCACCTAGGTAATCTGGGTATTGAGATCCTCATAATTACGTCCTTGACGTTGCTGTTGAAGACCTTGTCTTTTAGAAGGTGTACATCAGAGTCATCACAATTCCACCACGTCTGAGTTTGGTCATCTTTGCGAAATTTATGTTGAGGGTATCAAGTGGAAGGCATTGGTCTAGGTCCTCTAGAAGTTTGGTAGTTGTATTATTACCTTTAGGGTACAGAAAAAACATTGGTAATTTTGTGTATGGTAGTTTGTCATTATACTTAGAATAGCTGTCATTTGACATGTGATGAGTAGATGGAGTCTGATATTTTCTAGCTGAATGATCCTGATGTTGACAAGTTTGGAATTCTTCGTGATGCTGATCAACCGTCTGTGGTTCTTGAAATTTGCAGTCTGTGGTTATTTGGTAAAATTTGTTTTCTTTAGCACAGTAGCTTTTTCGTTGATCAAAGTGCATTTAGAGGGGGATATTTGCATATAATTATCGACTTGAGATTTGATCTCTTTCGTATTTTAAGTTTAATCTCAGCGTATTTTAAGTTTTCAAAGATCTGTTTTAATTTGTCTTGCAGCTTTAGTGGGACAATAATTTTCGAACCTTTTTTTTTTTTTTGTTTTCAAGAGTTTAATTCCTTGATTATAAAAATGATCTATTGCATTGAAACGATCTGACTGATTTTGAATGATATCCATCTACGATGGACTCAGTCGCAAGGTCGAAGTCGTAATCAGAGTTATTATCTGACATCATGTCGATATGACTCATTTTATGATGAAGATATATGATAGTTAGTTATTACAGCAAAAATTAAGAAAATTTATGCTTGAATAGAGAGAAATATATTTATAGGAGTAATAAGTGAATATGATTACAAAATCATTAAATAAACATGGTATACATATCAATGGAACGTTCAAGGTAACATTATACTATAGTAAATAAAAGTATAAATATGATATATGTAGTAAACATAAGAATAATGACTTACAATAGGCTGGAATAAATATTTATGTATTTATAGCAAGCGCAGTTTCATATTTGAGCATGTGCATTGTTAACAACCAAATTCTTTTAAATTTAAATATTAAAAAATACAAGAAGAAAATAAAGAAAATTAGTGTAACTTTTGAAGTTTTTTAAATACATAAATAAGACTTATATAAAAATTAGAGAGACATTTAATTTATACAACTATTAAAAGTTTATCTTATTTTAACAAAGCGGTTGCAAATTTAAAATGTGTGCATACCCAATTCAGTTATAGCAGTATTCAATGGATGCAACAATAAAAAATTATTGCATAGTATCAAGATAATATTAAAATTTCAATTAAAAATGGTAATTACTTAAACCGGTCTGAATTATATGTAATAAAGGTTATATATTTGAAGAGCGAAAATTTACATAGACACGAGTGAGGTACATAGACACGAAAACAGTCCAAACTTTCGAAAAAGAGTCCGAATCTTCGTTATTTCAAAGAACGTCGCTAACGAAAAGTTTTTGAAAAGTCACGCTAATTGAAAATTAAGTCACTAGAGTAAAATAAGCACAGAAGCAGCAGAACTGGTAAGAAAAGTACAGAAACGCATAAACAATTGGTGCCAATAAATATAATGGAAAACCAGATGTACCAACTAGAATTAGTAATACTAACAGAGCTATTTTTTGTCTTAGAATGAGTATTAGGTGTAAGGTATTTAGAAAATTTTGCACATCCCCTAAATTTTGCTGTGCGCCTCAAAAGGTAAACCACAATTACAGTACCTAACCACGTTTAATTTTTTAGTTGGAAAAATTTTCAGGCAAGTTTGTCTGGTGCAATGGAGATACCGAAGTCTTGATGTGACCTTCAAGGACCAATAGTGAGGTGGCCAACTCAATAAAACTGAGTTTAAGCTCTTTATAGAAAGCCTGTCAAGGATAGAGATCTGCTATTTTTTCACGAATTGAATCAGTTTACTACTATATCACCCGGCCATGCTCTGTACCACAAGTACTGTGTGCCCTAATGATAAGTTTTCAATTAATACCGATGCGTGGCGTAAGTGCGCCCTGTGGAGGTGTTCTTCTCAAGACGGTTAGTGTGAAGAAGCGACACGAGTTCTACCAATGGCAATGTGTTGGTGCTTCTCTCACTTTGTCCTGTCCTGTCCTTACTAAGCGAGCGAATGCATGATCCGAGAAAAAAGAGAGGATGATAATTGGAAGCTCACCAACTTTCTGTTTTAGGGAAGAAGAAAATGTTTATCCTTCCAAGTGAATTGCATTTTTACTTCCAAATCTTTTCAAAAAAATTCAGCTGTGTAGAAAAGAGGTTTTATTGAATCTCAAAAGTACATTTAAAGAAACCAAGCCACTGAGTTAGCGTTTGATTGTGTCGATTTTTCAGATTCCACGGCTCGTTCGATTCTATTCGCTCTTCGCTGCAGCCTCAGTAACCGATCCCTATTCCACCGCGCTGTCGATTCTTTCCACTCTTTGAACCATGCTCGCTAATCACCTTCAGTTCACTGTTTCATTCATTGTTCTCTAACCTTCTCGTCTAGGTTATTCTTCGTGAAGGGTGAGTCATAAATAAGAACTGATTTATTTCAGTTATCAAACGGTTCTGATCCGATCTGGATTTTGCCCATGTCTTCTGTCAACGTGCATGTAATCGATGGACATATAAATTAACATAACATAGTACACTTTATTTTTTGCAATGGCTTCTATTCTGCCAGCACTAAAGTTCTTTGATAGCGTTCCTATTCTCAAGAATCAGAGGATCCTTGTGTGTAGGAGTGAGAGATGTCCTTTACACGCTCCTTTTCATCAATGAAGTGCTTAAACCACTCAAACGCATGGGTACGCATGAAGTACTTATCCACTCATGCAACACTCTTCCACATACTGTGCTTGGAGTCTGCCAAATTTCAGATAACTGGACTTTTCTTCGAACAATTTGCTCAAAATGCTTTTGTTCATTTTTCTGAGTCAAAGAACAGGGAAAAGTGAATGGAACACCAGAATTTCGCCTATGCATTTGTAGATTTTGCTCTGTCTCACTACTGTTCCAGCATAACATCGAAGAAAGGGCATACTGCGCCTCTTCTCGGACACAGCTCAGTTAGGAATACACTACATGTGTAGCATTCCCAACTTTCTTCTACTGGGAGGCCGCGCAATGCTGCCGTTCTGCATCATGCACCCTGTACTTCATTATATACAATTCTAATTATTTTATTTCCAAATATCAACTGATATTTTGGTAATATCTTCATTTCTATTTATATTTCATTATTCATACATACATTATTTTGTTTTCTTCATTGAGAACCCTAATGGATACATGTTTAAATATATCAATAGATTAGTTTGGCATAGCTATGTTCTGTCATATGCTATAAGCTGCATCATTGTGTTTAAGATTTTTTTGTCTTTACGGCTTCCCACTCAGGACATATCTGATATCTTCTGGTGTGATGCCGGTTCTTGACCCGGGGATCGGATGTCCGGAACCGGCTGGAAACCACTGTAGGCGGCGTGAACCGTGCGCGGGAGATCGTCGTAGGCAGTGGCGGAAGGCAGGAGACCCAGCGTTTGATGGATGGGCAGGGACTGTGGGAATGGCTTCGGGTTCGCCTGCTTGCGTCTCCCACAGCTCAGCGTCAGCCTCCTCGTGGACTTTATACGGTGCCTTGGTCCAAGCCTTGGCTCGTATAGGCTAATGACGCTGAGCAACTAATCCCAGGGAATCGACTGGTGGGAATTTCCGGAACCGACCATTTATGGGAGGAGACTAGGGGTTCTCCCAGATCACTGGCTGGACTTGTGTCTTGCCAGCTTCGATTTGTTGGGTATATAATCAGACTTCACAGGACTAGAACCATAAGTCCATCCTATGGTATTCGCGGGCTTGGCAGGGACCGTACTGGTACTGTCGTGTCCGTTGCCTTTGCGGTGGGGACGCTCTCATGTAGATTTTAAGCGCTGTGCCGGAGGAGGCGGCTCCGCAGCCCTCAGTGTGATGGATTATGGCGATAAACGATAAACCTGAGAAGTCCCTGCGGGCTGTACGGTGGGTTGGCGCCCCGCCGGCACAGTCAACTGAGGAATGCCTTTGTATCATGTTAAGGCGCTCTAAAAGCTGCCAGGTAATGTTGCCTGAATCGGAGTTAATATCTTCTGGTGTGACTGGCAACCTGATTTCGCAATGGTTTTATTTTGTGATGTGACAGCTAAACGTATAATGCTCGGGGGTCCCCCTTTCCCTACACATCCACGCTCCAAGGCAGCTGTTCTTCGCTCATCATTCTCATGACTGCCAGACACAATTAAACAAGTTCTAATTGCACAAATGTGAAGGTGGGGTTAATGGCTACACTCCCCCAAGAACACACATCATTGTGCATGGGTACTACCTTGTGACAGCAACAGTCCCTGTCATATTTGAATATCTTTACTTAGGCACTACTGATATTTGTTTTAATAATTTCTATCAGCAACAAAATTAATTTGAAGAGGCAAAATAACTTACTTGCAAAGTATACATCACCAGGTCCAAATCGGTCATCATTTTGTATTAGAGTGTCGTCACTGAAAGATAAATTTAAATAGAGAGTTTTAGATATATAAATAAACTTTAACATATCTTTGCAGCAAGTTCCAAAGGTGAGATATTTTTATTAATAAAACTCACATGCAATTTTCCTGCTTCTGATTCTTGGTTAATTTAATGTTTTTCTAATAATGTTACAAGAATTGCAGTTTGTGGCTGGCTTACTTGTAATTTGTCTGTGGTATAAGATGCGTCACGTCACTACCAGCTCTTTCTATTTAATCTTAAATGGTAAAAAATATACGCGATACGGGGTTTTAGATTACTCTGTGTTAGTTAAATACCTCAAAATAAATAATGTCTTTTTAGCCATCAAAGCTTGTCCAATCTCTTCCAAAACACCGTGTATGTATATAATGGTTTATTGCACCTCAACATTACAAAAAATAGTTTTCGCAATTTCTAAGTAGAAAACATACTGTTAAATTAACTAAAATCAATGAAATTTGAAATTCAAATAATAAGATTTATAGTATTTAAAATAACATTCATAAAATTTTAATTCCAAACTAAGATTCCATAACTGATAATAGTTATATCAGTTAATCCTAAACTACAAATGAGTTTCTTTTAAAAGATCCTCCATGAAAGCATTCCTCCTAAGGACACTGTGTGTTTTGTCACTTTCAAATACCTTAGCATAATCATCATTAAAATATCATATCATATTCAGTTAAGTTAAATTATAATTTACAATTCATTTAAACTGTTTTTTAAATAATTTGAAGCCTTATAAATGTTTTAGAGCAGAACAAGTAACAGAGTTGACACTCTTTATGAAACAAAAATATTATTGATGAGTTTTAAATCGAAGATGATGTTTAAATTAGTTTAAATTAAATACTGATGTTTCAACTAGACGCGACAGGAAGTCTGATGGGTTGCTACATCAATGAAACGTAGAATTTATTTGCCATTACAAAATACATCGTAAGGATATACGGAAGGCCTTTTGAAACATATTTAATTTTATACACTTTAATCAACTGCGATAGCTGCTTCTTTTCACTTCCTTGTACGAAGTAAAACAGAAGTATTGTAATCGCGAAAAGTTTCAGGCAGCATATTTCAACGAAAATATCCATTTTGACCCCTATCGAATTTAATTTAACGATGTTTTTGCGTGATATCTGTACGTAAGGACAGAATAAAAGACTCGTTTCCTCCAAAAAATTATAAAACTGCTTTAAAATTAATTCTGAAGAGAATTTTTCGTGGCGTCTCTACGAACGTATGTACATACGTACGTATCTCGCATAACTCAAAAACGAGTAGCCTCAGAACGTTAAAATTTTGTATATAGGATTACTATAACATGTAGATGTGCACCTCGTATTTTGGTTGCAATCGGCCGCACCAAACATATATAAATATATTTATATATATATCCACTCTGTTACCCGGCTCAGTGATCTCAGTTTCTTTATTCGTATATGTTTGTAAATTGTACATTTTTTGCTTTACAAATAATTGAATTATGTTGTTTTTATCTTCCAATTAAGATTTTTATGCCTTTAGTAAATCTGTATGCGATATTTTTAGAATTATCAACAATTTTAAAGTTGTTTAAGTGCTGCTAAGCCTTTTTTTTATGGCGGCCATTCATTGTTTACATTTGAAACAGACTAGTGGATTTGTTGCCAATCTAGAGAAACTTAGCTTCCCAACAACAAAGACAACGCCTTCATTTTTTATTGCCAATTAAATCATGCTTAATCCTTTCTGGATTTTTTCGAGGAAATAGTCGTTTAAGATTTACTCCGTAATTCTTAATATAGATATTTTGAGTTTTTATGTATTTTTGCCTTCTCGCGAAGTGAGAACTGAATTAATTGAATGAGAAATACCCAATCGTCCGTGAAAAACTGTTTCTTTTTTGTTTTGTTTGCTTAATTTCTTTTATACATCGTTCTAGCTTTATTATAGTATTTGAATAGAACATGTGGCAATGATTAGATAATTCTATTCTTTAAATGATATAAATTTTGTGCATTATGAATTATAATATGAACGAAATATAATACTGTTAAGTGAATCTAGCGCCAGAGTGTCGCTATGGTAAACAAATACTAGATTGAATTTTAAAGAATTCATTTATTCAGTTGTTGTTTATGCGCTGTCGGCGAAGTAGATTTAATTGAATCCAATAAGTTTAAATGAAATGCAAGAAAAAATGCGTATAATTTAATATTCCGTACAAGGAAGTTATGTGGTGTACACATCAGATTTTTTTATCTACTAGAAAAATTTCTTAGACGTGTAGTTCTATGAAGCAAGATATGGATGAATCGAGCGAAAAAGAAAAAAAAAAAATCGTTGTGAATGCTTTATGGCGATCCAAATGCAAATGAATTTAAATGAAGTTTTACTGGATATTTTGCTGAATATTGCATGCAAATTGATTATACTGTCGTTACATCAGTGTTTAGATATCTATCTGTCCGTTTCTGGTGACAAATTAGCAGAAGTTATGTAAAATGTTTTACCGAAAACCAGAAAATGTCAACAAATAGAACCATATGGTGTACAGAGTGCAAAACTGTATTTTGTTTGGGTAGTTATTTTAAAACTTTTAATCATACTTAAAGTACTTAATAAAATTTTAAATACTTTTTAGTCCAATTAAAAAACGTAAGCCTTAAATTCCTGATTTTCAACAATTATTCCACATTTGCAAACAGCATACAAAATTTGAATTTTACGTTATTTGTTACACACTGTATGAACAGACATGTTCAGAATGCTCAACTGTCTGAACAGTTTAAACATTCAAAGACTGCCGGCCAGATGGTTTAGTAGTTAATGACACTGACTGCCGTATCGATGGACCGAAGTTTGAACCCATAAGAAGGCCTGGATATTTGTAAGTATAGTGTTGTAAATGTATGGTGTCTCTGTGGCATGGGGACATTCTAAATATATGGCGAGTCAAACGTCCTCTCGTGTAGTTTGGTGGTTGAGGACATGGGTGAGAGACCCTCAGACCACCTTTTGGGATCATCTTCCTCAAAATTGGTTTGGAAAGCAGAAATACAACATCATTGTACTCTGTAACCCATGAAATATAGACGCGAGAAAACTACAGCAACATTGGAAACATTGGTTAAACTGCACGTAGAAGCGCTAGACCCGCACCTCCGACTGAGTTATTTGCTGTACATAACTATGTTCCCATCACAGTTCCGAATTCCAGGAGCGAATAACCCAGGTAGGCGTCGCGAGTTACTCCCACCCCCTACCACCCCACGTTTGAGGAAACATAGCCCGAAGCGCAGTTCGGGCGTCTATAACCTCTCAAGGACTCTCGGGTCGTCATTTACTTTGATTGCTCTCTTGTCACACAGACATTATATGCATACAAACATTCATGCCTTCTTCCGGATTCGAACCATCGGCGTCAGTATCACAGGTTAACATTCCATCTGTGCAGCCATCGGTTAAGCAAAGAACAAACTTCATTGCAATGCTGCCTTGAAACCAGATATTCCATTAGAATTTTTCGTAACTTTATTCTAATGAAGGAAAACAGAACATTTATTTTTTTCCAAAGGATTACGAGAACTTTGATTATTCGTCAAATGCTATTAAAACATCAGTCTTCGCTCACCTTCTTCCAATGACAATCAGTCCTTTCGTCTTTGGGTTGACCCAACATTCATCATTTTGATACCAGACGCCTGAAATAAACGGGATATTATTTTTTTTAATTGGAAGATGCACAGGAATAGAAAACATCTAAACAACACTGCTGCTGCGAATGTGGGCGTGTTGATCATCGCGGATTAATTAAATCTCCGCATTGTATTGTTTGAGCCTTATATTGAATTTTTTTTCAGAATTTTACCTGGATATTTGGTGAGATAAGTTTCTTTTAGTATTCTGTTGTTGTCGTCCTTCCACAAACAAAGGGGAAAGTTGGGTGCAGGAGTTGCTATGACCGCTTCGCCTCGTTCTCCAATAACAAAACAACCTAAAAGAAGCAAACGAACAAATGTTTAAGTTAATTTTGAAACCGCAGATGTTTAGGAAAACATAATTATCATTTCTTATTTGGGAAATTATAAAAAAATAACTAATAAGTTCATTTTGAAACCTCAGATGTTAGGTAATTATCATTTCTTCCTTGGAAAATTATTAAAAAAATGAAGAATCAGTGTGTAAAGCTCATTTAGAAATCGCCGTAAATGTTTATCAAAGTGTGATTATCATTTATTCCTTGGAAATTATAAAAAATAACAAATAAGTATGTAGTTATGTTATAATCACGTAATAAGTATATGATTATGTAGTACGAATAAGTATAAAATTTCATTTTGAAACTGAAAATGTTTAGCTAAGTATTATTATCATTTCTTGGAAAATTATAAAAGAAATTAACGAACAAATTCATTCTGAAACTGCACTTGTTTAGCAGAATATAATTACCATTTCATCATTCAGAACTTTAAAAATTATTAAAAAAACGGAATAAGTGTTTAAGTTTCTTTTAAAACCGCAGATGTTTAAACTAAGTGTAATTATAATGCCTTACTTGGGAAATAAAAAAAAAATAACAAAAAATTGTTATGTTTTAAAAGCACGGATATTTTAGCTAATTATTTTTTCTTCCTTGGAAAGTTATAAAATGTAACGAAAAACTGTGAAAGTTCATTTTGAAAAAGCGGATGTATAGCAAATTCTGTTGTTGCAAAGAATAATTATCATTTCTTACTTGGAAAATCGTAAAAAACAATTATAAAATTATCAAATATCATGTTCTTTGCACTTAACGCCACATAAAATTCAGTTAAACAGCAAAATCACAAAATATTTAAAAGCAACATGTCCTTAGAATTCCCGATGCAAGGTTAGGGGTTGTCATGTATATTTTTCTATTCGTTATGTTATATCTTTAAAAACTAGCCGTTCGCGCCATCAGCCACTTAAAATAGTTATCACCAAAAAGAAAAATATATAATGATTTCAGAGTCAAACTGAATATTTATAATTAGACATCTCATGGTTTTAATATATATTCATTTAAATCAATCACATTAAAATGTAACAAAGATTTCAACATGTTTATTGCTTTAAATCTCTTATTTTATTACTCAGTAACCATCCAGATTGAGTTTGAAAGTACCTTACGGTTTAGCGAACGGTAACAGGATGGCGAGTGGAACATGTGTTAAGAAAAGCCTATAGAGAGCGCTGTACCCCGCCTGTTTCTTCAGCGTAGAATTGCTTAACTAATGAGTAAGAATGCTGGTAAGGGAGTGAATTGGAATTCTTCAATTATGGCAAAGCACACGAGGGCTATCTGCCTAAAGGGAGGGATGTCTTCGTGGAGGACTTTCTAAGGGAAACTGGCTCCTATACACGTTACACATGGGGAAAACTACGAAAACGCCCATGCAGCCAGGCCGTTGGCGGGATTCGAACCTCGGACCGAACTACCAGTGTTCAGCTTCTTTACCGCTCGACCGCTGGTGGGCCGCCTTGCTGATAAGGGAGTCGCCGGCTCTAATAATTAACGGCACAATTAATACTACACTTTATTTTAGTAATCATGTAAATAGATTTATTTGTTGTTGTGTTCAAAACTGAGCTTTACGTACAAACTGAACCACCAAGGTACTTACAAATTTTGGATTAGTAAAAACGCCACATAGTGCATCGTCAGCGAAAAAATTCCGGGATTACTAGGCCATTATATTTTGGATTACTAAATCATGCCCGGAAGGAAATAAAAGGTAGGCTCTCATTTTATATTTATTTTTGATTTTATTTTTGATCCTTGGATGTATTTCTGTTGTACTATATTAAGAAAATGGCAGCGTTAGAACTAGCAAAAGCTAAAAGAAGAAAAGTTCGAAAATTAGCAACCCAGTTAATTAATCAAATTGATGCTAAATTAAAGTCAGGAGAGGAGCTTGATGAGCAAGATTTAATAGACTATTGCGAGCTCTTAAAAGTTTAACCTAGCAACATAGGCAAATCTTGCATAGGCAGAAGAAAGAAAGGAAAAGTGATGTTCAGAAAGAGTAAGTGGTGCCATCTAGAAAAGAAAAATAGAATTAGAAATAATCTGTTTGTAGACTGTGGCTTCAAATATGATTCGCTGGGTAAAGCAGAGAGATTATTATAAACTAACAAGACTCCAATTCTCTAACAAATCGAATAAACAAATGCTTGAAACTACTTAATGATTCGCATGAGAATGAGAACAGAAGAATTAAAAAGGAGAAAATAAATCGAGCTTTTAATTTATCTATATATTTTGAGATTTAAAGATAATTTTAGATATAAAGCCATTTGATAAGCTTAAATGAAATTTAAAAAAGTTGAATAATATATAAGTAGTTTTAAATTAAGTTTAAGAAAAGGCAGTTTAATTATTTTATAGTTTTAGTTTACAGCATAACTCAAACTTTGCCCAAAAACAAGAAGTAAACATAAAATCAGTTCATATAATGAATAAAAAACGTTACTGCGTTCAATATTTCGGGTAGAAACATTGTCAAACATTGATAAACATAGTTGAATAATATTAAACACTGTTAAAAATTAAAATGCATTGATCAGCCGAATGCATCTACGCGACACATTTTATATATACATATATATATTTCCTTTCGCTTTTTCTAACATAAGGTACGGTGAACTTCAAAGAAACCTAAACCACCAGCTGAGGAAGATTGGGGGCTATTTTGGTTGAAACGAATTCGATTTTTGATTTGTAGCCCGGTGGTGCTGGGCAAGAGACAATATAATGAGGTCTTACCATTTTTGTCAACACATCGGACATCCATTCCAAGAGCAGGGGCTTGAATTTCTCCAGCATAAGAAGGTAAGTTTAAGTCGAATCCTGAGATACATCCGAACGATTCTGTGGATCCTAAGATAAAGCAGAAAATTTAAACTATGTTACAGATATTAAAATCGGATATGCTGGGGCTGTGAAACTAAGCATGAAGGTTGGAGATTCAATTTAAAATACAAGCCCTTACAGCATCCATGTCACATAAAAATGACTTTAGTCAAAATGAAGGGATACAATATGATGAATATCAGTGTTTTGTAAACATTACTCGTAGTCAGTACCTTCGAACTCCAATTGCACACAGGCAAAATGCAAAATCTGAAAATAGCTAACTGGTCAGATATTGTTTACCAAAAGGAAAAGTTTTAATAAAATACAAAGGATTTTAAATTTCGCTTTACGTGTTTATCAAAACATACATTAACAATGATAATAATATCGTAAAGAGGAAAAAAAATCAAAATTTATATATATATTTCCATCTGAGAATTTTAGTGACTGCAAGAGTTTTTAATTCAAATATATTGACAGACAAATATTAAATTTTCAGCGTGGTATTTATTTCAAATATTTCTATAGTGTTTAATGAATTATTAAATAACTTACTTTAAACTTAAAATAAAATCTGAAAGCTTCCAGATTTTTAAAATTTTTTGTGTTAACTTTACTTATTAAATATCATGTTCTTCGCACTTAAATCACATTAAAAATTTAACAGCTATATCGCAAAATATTTAAAAAGAGCATAACTTTAGAATTTCTGATACAAAGTCTAGCGCGTTGGAGATAAAAGCGGTTTTTTTTCCTTCCGTACAATGTTGCCATTGCTCGCTTTGAAATCGCTGATATTAATATAAAATTCGTCAGTTTTTTTTACAAAATATGAAATAGATAATAAAACAAATTCCAAATTAGGGCTTCCAGGGGCCCATTTTCACGTGGAGGACTATATTATTCAAAATTTGATAACTCTGAGTACCGTTGGTTATCAGTGCCAGAAACATACATACATTCATGCAGATGCTTCCCTATTTATTTTCTTTAATTATAATTCAAGGCTCTAATATTTGGTGGCAACAATTTGAAAAGTGAAACGATGTTTATAGTGAACCAGCGAAAAATTCCAAAACGAAATTAATAGCTCTTTTATGCTAATGTCTTAGGGCTAATAAAAACATTTTAAATAAATTTTTAATTTCTCATTAACTGTTTATAAAAACACACAGCAATAATATTAATGATAATAATAATATTAACAACAGCAATGATAATATCGTAAAGAGCAAAAAAATCCAAATTTATATTTATTTCCCATCTAAAATCTTAAAAAAATATGTGGTACCTGCGAGACATTTTTATTATTTACAGTTTGTAATTCAAATATACTGACAGCTAAATATTAAATTTACAGAATGATATTTATTTCAAATAATTCTATACAATGTTTAATCAATCATTAAATAACTAACTTTAATTTAAGCATAAAAAATTATGAAAATTTTCCAGATGAGACTAATAGTGATAACCCAGTGTCTTTCTTTTTAAGTTTTCGAGTGTATTATTTACGTTAATTTTTAATAATGCTGAAAATAATCTAGACTTGCAAGAACTAAACTTGCAAGTTCTTTGCAAGAACATATTTGTAACAAATACATAATTGAAATGCATTTGCTGCCCGCAAAATATTCAAAATTGCAATGGAATTTAAATTACTTAATTTGGGGTTTTCACAGAAATTTAACTAAGAAAATGCAGAAGTTTGTTTTCACCAATGTTTCTTTTCTTTTTCGTAAATTCCTTAACAATGAGTTTTAGAAAAGATAGTAAGGAGAGTCAATCAACGAAGAAAATGGCTAGAATCACTATGGAGGTAAAACAACAGACCGTTGAAAAGTTTGAAAATGGCAGGGGTTTGTGGAACACGGCTATTATACAGTATGCCGAGTACGATGGAATCTACGATTGTCAAAAACAAAGACGCTATCCAATCCGGTAACGCTGTGGACAATTACTACATACAATTGCTTTCGAACAATTGTATTTTTGAAATTTGTTCGCATAGGTCAATTAACGAAATCGATTACCGAACAATGGCATTAGAGCATTGTGAAAGCAGAAAAACATTTCTGTATAGTATCATGTGCAGGACGTCCTTAACGTGCAGTATATATTTCAACCACAGCATTTACAGTTTAGTGCGAAACAGTGTTATAATAATAATAATATAATTCTTTATAAGAGCGGATTAATTACTTTTCTTTTATTCCTTATTGGAAAATTTTACTCGGTATGCGTCCAGTTTGATGTATGTGCAAGGATTTGGAACAGATAAACGATCTATATGGAAGTACTATTGATTTAAATACGAGGTGAGGAATTTTTCTTCTGAATCTATGAAGTTTTTTTTTTTTAATTTTTTGTTATTTATTTTTTATTTTAAATCAAATTTTCTATTCAACATACCATATTGACTGCCGAAAAATACATCCTTTTTAACCTTATCATGGATGAAATGAAAATTTTGCATTTTGGCAGGACTTCCTGCGGTAAGTTGAACCTGGTAGTGCTCTAAATTTAACTCTGGACCTGAAAAGCATAAGCAATTTGTTATATTTGCGTGCAGAAATAACAGTTAAATTCACTTCAAATATCTAACAACAATATATATATTTATAAATAACATGCATTTAATAATCAACTGGTTACTCTGCAGTACTCATTAGTTGTCGCTGTTACCAATCTCACTTTCTGACAATGGTCGGCATGGAGTCAAATGTGGCTGCACTTGGCGAGAGCCTTGCACACCATATAGGTGACAGACTGACTGTAGTTTAGTTTCGCCCCTAATTTTGAAAGAAAGCGGCCCGGGAGGTCGAGTCAAGGATCTCCTACATCTCTTGCCCCACCAGCATCCTCTCTCCTTCGGGGATCGATGTAGAAAAGTCTGCGAAGCTAATGGCTAGGATCGGTACCTATACAGCCTCGGCCACTGGGGTATACAAATAACGAACCTGGTATATCTAATGGCTTCGGAAAGATCGGTTATCGGCCAGCCTGTGGCTCTGGCAGTTAATAGAGCTTGAGGTTCTAGTACGCCGGTGTTGCGTTCCGGGTTGCTGCCTAGGGATGGCGCCCCGAGTTTGCTGGGCAATGTCTTTGGGCGACGGGCAGCCTGTGTGGCTGGTAGGTGACAAAATCCATCCTATCCAAGGTTGAAAGGACAGGGTTTGAACTCCTGGGCCTGGTTCTGCGGGTGGATGGCCACGTAGTACCCGGCTTGAATGTCTGACGGAAAGTGTTGTAATGTATTTTGCAGTAATTGACAAAATAACAGATAATCTTATAAGTGAAACATAAATTTTATTTTTAGTTTACGGAGATAGATAATTTGAATACAGTCTTTTAGTTACAAATTTTTCATGCTTCTTCTAGCTGGTCAAACTTCAGAATTCTCGTTTTAAACAATTTCTTCTGTTGCTGAGCAACAGAGAAATATGGCGTTGCCCTTCAATAATTAATATAGTTATTTGTTAATAACAAGATATTACAACCTCTCCCTCCTCCAGATAAACTTTAATTTATATTTTTAAAAATTAAAGTTTACAGTTTTTTTTTTCAAAATAACAAAACATCAACACACTACATAATTGAAATACTACATATAATATAATAATATACAGTAATATATAGTAAGGAAGAGGAAAGAACAAAATATTTTTTATCTAGGGAAATACATTATTTAATCAATAATAGGGAAATACATTATTTAATCATGCCAGGGAGTACGACTTAATGCGTCTACATTTTTATGGTTTTTACCACTTCGATGAACGATCGTGTAATTGTAGGGTTGTAGTACCAGTGCCTATCTCATAAGTCGTGGATTTAGACTCAAATTATTTTTGAGCCAAACTAGGGGATTATAATCGATCATGATGAGGAATTTAGTATACCGGTCTAAATAACATTGCAGCAAAAATTATGGCGACGCATTCCTTTTCTGTGGTAGAGTACTTTGTTTCAGTTTCTGCAAACGTTTTACTGAGATGTAATACTGTATGTTCATTGCCTCGTTCATCTTTTTGAGCTAAAATGACACCCATACCAGAGTTTGAAACATCAATTTGCAAAATAAGCTTTTTATTGAAATCAAGTGAGTGCAATTGAGGCTTCTGCTTCAACAACTCGCCCCTGTCTGTTTAATTCCTTTAAAACCTTCTCCTTGACTTGCATCTCAACTCCAGAACTTGGCAATTCATGTAGAGCTTTTAACTGAGAATCGTTTAATTTTGTCAGTTTTTTCTTGTCAGATAGTTTTTTCTCTTTGCGAGATGAACTTTTGCTCTTATCCGCTGCTTGCATTCTCATTGAATGTGGCAACTTTGAGTATCCTTTATCATGTTTGTGCCTCTCTGCTAAGTTTTCTGACGCGTGCATAGATTCTGAATGTATTTTTAATTTCTTAGCTTTAGAAGCACCTTCATGAGTTCTTTTCTCAGAAGTTCTTTGATCTGCTGTTAACAAACTGTCAAATACATCTTTGCTTTATGAAGAAGAAGGAACTGGGTATCTTGTGGGGGAATAATCATACCTACTATCCACAGAAGATGAATCAGCAGGTAAATAAGGTTAGGCAACTTCCATATCAATAACTTCAGTTTTCTCATCAGGAGATGAACGTTTAGATTGCTTATCAGACTTTTGTGAAGCATTGAGAGAAGCTTGACCTTTAGGAAGGTGAGTATTGACCAAATTACCGTGAGTTATAGCACTATTAGTTATTTGGTTCTGTATCAAAGATGTATAGTTCTGCATTTGAACCCTATACTTTTGAGGAATAACAAATAATTCCCTTTCATTTCCATTTTTAGCTAATTTCTTCTATACTTCAATTTTTTTTCATATATGATATTTTTACTATACTTTAGGCCTTGATTGTTATAAAGTAAATATCGTCAAAATATATTATTACTTCCAAATATCGTCAAAATAAATTATTACTTCCAATAAAATAATTTGTTCAAAAAGTTTTAAGCAGTAACTTATATAATAATTCGGACACTCCGAATTTTAATTGAGATATTTTAGAGGACAATGTTTCTTGTTATGATTTTTGTTTCTGTTTTAAAATGAAGAATAAAATGAAATACATCACAAGAATTGTCGTCTGTATTTGGAAATTTTCACTTATTTTAGCAAAATATGTTAATTAGTTTCATATCTGAAGTGAAGCGGCAAGTCGCTACAAATTAACGGCTAACTCTATGAGAAATTTAATAATTCAGCTTTTTGAAAAATGGTAAAAGTATTCGAAATACCTTAATACCAATCACACTTCTGGTATTCGAAATATCTACAAAAATACCTTGGTGCAAAACATTTAACTACCTTTGGGTTCAATAAAACGATGCAAACTGCATGGAACTGTTACGAATGCACTGGAATTTGGAACACATTCCAAGATAACATCAAGGAATTGCAGATTTATTCATCGAAAAATTAAGCGACATTTAAAAATTAGTACCGTAAATCATTCAGCAGATATAGAAGAACGGTTTACAATAAGAGTTAACCCTGAAGCTGAACACTGGTAGTGCGGTCCGGGGTTCGAATTCCGGCGGAGAGGCTGACTACATGGACGTTTTCGGGATTTTCCTAATGCGTAATGTCTATATGAGCTAAAATTGCCCTAGAAATTTCTCTACCAAGGCCTCCCTCCTCATAAACAGACGAACCTCGAGGTAACATTTAATCATCTCACTTTGAGAGTTAAGAGGAAAGATTCCTCCTAACTACTGGATTATTTAAAGTTATGCGGATTCTCGAATACGATTTCACGTATTTTAGGGAATGAAAGCCAAACATTTTGCTTGATAAAATCAATTTTTTTAATGAAGACCCTAAAATCATTAAACAAAATAATATATCTATTTTTTAACATGTAAAATTTCAAGTTTTTTTCCAAGTCCGAGAACAAAGTGCTATGTTCTATAAGGTAGTGCACTTGATTTTACGCTAAAGTATTACCGTTATCCCTCGCTTACCTCTCCACCGCCCAAGTATTTTAGCTGCAGGTTCTGAAAATTTTAAAAATATTTGCGTTATTCTCTTTTTTCTCAATGCGTTCAGACAGCAAACTTCCTTGATATTAAAATTAATTCGTCCATGTAATGATTGTTTTCTCTTACTGACAAAGACTATCCGACGCAAACTACGTGCGAATGTCACCCCGAACCTTTCCTTTACACCAGCCTTTAAAGTTCTAACTTTATGCTGGTTGAACTTTATCCAAGCCTAACAGAAGAAACAACCCAAATACGAAGTCTACGATTTCTTCGAGTCAGCTTCAGATTTACCGTCTTTAATTTTTATGGATAATTTGAGGCGTAAAAGGTGGAGAAGATAACAACAGGAACGAGAGCGATTTACATTATAGGGAAGTAGAAATGAAGATGTCTCATTAGATATTGTAATGTTAATATCTCTATGTACTTTTATTATAATGCAGGTTTCTTTTAAAGAAATGATACGTACTGTTGTTGCTGTGTCTACTCTAGCCTGTATAATCTTAGTGGCGAGGAATCAGTTCATGATGGCAAGGCGGCAAGATTGTGCTTGTCGTTGGCAACAGCCTTGGTTATCATACAGATGACATAGGACTTTGCTCTGTTCCGCCCCTGATTTTGATGAAGAGCACCCGGGTAGACGGTCCGAGGGTCTTCCACATCTCTTCTCAAACAAACAACCTCTCGAGAAGACTTTGGGATCGCCGCATAGTTTAAGTGTCCCCATGCCGCACATACACCATACATTTACAAACATCATGCCTTCTCCGAGATTCGAACCAGGGTCCTTCAGTAAGGCAGTCAGAGTCTCTATCCACTATCCTGGATGGGCAGCTAGAAATAGTACTGTGATAGTTACATGTAGTTTATTCCTGACTCTTTTCTTTTATTGTTATTTAACCCCGCTGTTTCCTCTATTGATTTTGAGACGATAAAATTAGTAAAAGTAAAATTAAAATACGCGTGGGATTATGGTATTTAGCGATGTCGGGTATCTATATATCATTAAGATAGTAAACAGCTAACGTCAGCTTCTGCTTCAAGTATTGAAAGTATTTTAATAATATCCGAATTTCTTCAGAAAATCTTGTAGAACACATTTATGGACATTAATGATATTATAAAAAAAGCAAAATTATTCTATGAAAAAGTGTTTAAATTTTTGTATGAGAACTTATTTCTGACTTACGTGGCACAATCTGAAGTTTCTCTAGTTTATCTAAAATACTGGTAACAAGAAGGGCATATTTAACTTTGTACTGAGAGAAGATGTCCCATATGTTACGTCCGTCCTTTACATAATAAGGGCTACCGCAATACAGAATGAGTTTGACTCCTAGTGCAATGCAAGGTATTAGACTTCCCCAAATAGTCCATCCCATCTAAAATAAAGAAAAGGACATAATCATATTTTATATAACAAGTATAAATTAAATTATTTACTTTAGGTTATATTTTGAAGCACATTGTAAAAAGTAATACGTAATGAAGAACTTCATCACACGCAATAATGAAAATAAATATTTTTTAGTAGTTTGATTTGTTTTTAACTTACCAATTTTTTTACCGTCTATAATCTCATGTTAGAGGACAGCCATGAAATCAAAGCTTTCGTCTATTAACAGCAGTGTTCGCTAAAGTGGACAGTCCGTTTACAGAGTTTCGGCTGTTATTTTTTCTCATTACACAATCACAGCTAATTTACTTGTAAAATTGCATATTATCTGTATAAGAACTGTGTTAATCTCTAAGTCGTAAGTTTTAGATTATAAACTTTTCAAACTAAAATAAAATATTAGCTACATGACGCTCATGGGACCGAGGCATTTGTCCGTTATCAGAGAACGTCCATTCAATGGGAACGTGTTCTTCTCTTATTTCTTCGATCTGAGGATTAAGGATTTATCCATTAAAGAGGTATGCCCATTAAAGTGAAAAATTAAAGTGTCCTTTAATGATAGTTTGACTGTATTAAATTAAATAATAGAAATGTTGATGATAATTTTCTTAACTAAATTTCAGTTTTTAAATGTTAAATATTTAGTCCGTCTTAATTTTATAGTTCTGTAAAACTTATCTTAACTTTTACAAAATTTAGCTCAACATTTTAGAAAATTTATCTTAATTTTCTTTACAAAATATATCTTGATTTTCTTTACAAAATATATCTTTATATAAAACATTAACTGAAGTTCTCGGCATTGCACTGGCTTTGTGCAAAGAAAGGGGGGAGGCTTTATTAGGGGCATGGGGGCAGTGTTATCGAAATCCCAGCCAAGCCGATATTTTCCTCTTATTTTGGTTCAACGTGAACTTGTGCAAAATTTTACCAAAGTAAAACTGTAGACAAAATTGAATAACTAACACGACGCGATGTAACAGTTTTAGTAAGAACTTGTACTTGCTTTGTTATCGGCTACATCTTCTTTCAGAAATGAGCTTTCCGAAAATCATCATCTGCTTTGGCCGATTTCTTCAGGGTTTTGAAATTATTTTATAATGCCTGATAGAAAGCCCAGTTAATTTGGTGTTAAAGGTTCTATACTATTCTGAAAATTAACTATTTTAAACAATAAACGAAGGCAGCGCCATCTAAATGTTATAATAAGAAGTGATAGCGACCGTGAAGTGAACTTAAGTTGGGTGACATGATTTTAAAATTAAAACTGTGTAAAAATATTGATATTTATTTTCTGAAAAAAAAATCTTTGTTTAGCAATTATGACTTCCACTGAAAACAGGAACGTAACAAAGAAGGCATGATCTTAAGACAGGTAACGTGAACTCAGCGTTCTAATATAAATGCTTCAATTGTAGGCGTCGTGGAATGTGTTTTCGTGTAGATAATAATCTTATTGTTTTGAAGATCAAGCGTGAAAAAATTTTCTCAAGATCGGAGAGAAATTGTAGACTCATATGAACTACATACTCACACACAAACAAACGGACATACGTCTTCATACATGTAGAATATTTAATGAAACCTGCTAAGTTATTTTCATTGGTAAAGTTAGTGATTAATAATATCTAAAATGGGTCTTCGTTTATTGCTTTTAAAAATCTTAGTTTATATAATTAATTATAAATGTGAAAAATATTTAAATAGCTTATACTTTAATGGATGACCAAACACTGCCGCGTAAAAGTAAAAAAAAATGTTTAATTTGGATAGTTTTCATATTTCTTTTAAATAGTAGTTTTTTTTTTTTTTTTTTTTTTTTTTTTTTTTTTTTTTTTTTTTTTTAAGTCCGAAAGACTATTATACTGCGAGAGGGAAAACTCTTCCTTTACGGCTTAGAGTTTTCTTATTAAATCTGAAATATATCTTACTCTTACAGTGGCAACACAAGGCTTTACCAATGGTCGATGGATAATATATACCTTTATTCCGTTATATTATAGAATATCAACTGATGAGCTAAAGATAGATTTTGATCAATCTGGATTCATGTTTAAACTATTGAAAACTCTTTCCTTTTAGCGTTAAGATTCTTTGATAATTTAATAAACACTATTAAATTTGATCCAATTAAACAAATTTTTTCAGCAAATAATAAAAAAAATTTCGAATTAATCAAAATAGATTGACAACAGAATTATAAAATTACCTGATCTTTATGATTTCAATTTAAATTGGAAGTTCTTTTAGGTTTAAATTACAATAAAACGAAATTACCGGATATGGTGACAAAGCGACGTCTCCGCTTCTCAAATTGTAATGAAGAGCAATGTTTTTGAAATGAGTGATCATCACCTAAAAAAAAAAAAAAAAAAAAAAAAAAAAAAAAAAAAAAATCGAAATTAACCTGCAAGTAAAATTGAAACGATATTATGGTCAGAAAGCCAACAATATCAAAATTAATGTTAAAATATTTTGCAGGTAAATATCGTTAAAATGCGCTACATAAACCATAATTTCATTTGTCAGTTGGAATAACTTAGATTCAATAAGTTCATTTAAAATTAAAATCCCATGTGTTTCGGTCACAAAAGCTATTGGTTAAAAGGAAACTTCAATAGTGTTTGTATCTAAGATGAAGGTGATATCTAAGTGTTGCCATACTTGACTTACTAATATAAATATAAACCGCAAACTCGCCTTACAAATCTAGATATAAACACGAGAATGGGACTATTCGGCGTGGGCCGTTTCGCCGTTGGGGCGTTTCACCGTCAAGATATATTTTTCTTTAAACGTATGTATTATATCTTGTCGTATTATATTAAGTTGGTTTAAATTAATAACTCTGTTCGGTTTAATAATTTTATTTAATTTAACAAACGTTTTATATAAAATGTTTTTCTGTACAGTGTTATACAAATACACCGTTGCACATGACATATTAATTTTAAGAGAGTAATTAATGTGCTGACAAGATTCTAAAGTAATTCCGTTTTGCATTCAAATTTTATAAAAATGTGAATTTCCTGCTTGTCCGAGCGATTTCTCTGAATTAGCCGATTAAAATTTCAAGAAATTTTGGCAAATTATATAAATATTGCACCCGAATAATTTTAAAATCGATAATATAACTTCTGTTATATCATAAGTTTAGCCCCAGTTCTCTTTGGGACTCACATAATTTTCCAACTAACTATGTGTAATTTCTTTATATCTCATACTTGTAAATAACTATATATGTTACAAGCAACCTTTATTAAGTATACAAAAGGTAAGCAGAATTATTAAAATAAATAAACGTAATACGAGTATAATACGGCAAGATATACAAGGTGTGTTCGAAAAGTTCGGTGAATTTTACCATAAAAAAGGAAACAAGAGAAACAAGCAAAATAGCTTTACAGGCCTTCAAAGTATTCGCCATTAGCAACAATACACTTTTGACATCGGAAGCTGTCTGTTGGAAACTGTCTGCAAACGCTTCTTTCGGTATGGCTCGAAGCACCGTTGTCACACGTTGTTAGATCTCACTAATGTCGGAGAAGTGTTGGCCTTTCAGAAATCCTTTGAGGCGAGGAAACAGGAAGAAGTCCGCGGGAGCCAGATCTGGAGAATATGGAGGGTGATCCAAAACTCGAACCTGGTGCCTGTCGAGGAATTGGGTTACACGGATCGCAGTGTGCGGCCGGGCGTTGTCATGGAGCAGATTTCCTGACCGTAAACTTTCACTAACATGTCATGTGTCTCCGTCGCCGTTTTGCCTAACTTGAAGCAAAACTTTATCTTCATACGTTGCTCCATGTCACACTGGCAATCTTTCTCACACTGACTGTGTTAAACTGCTCATAGCGTGCTCTTCCTCTTATCTGTCGTAAAATGGCCGTTAGATGGCTCTAGATGACATTTCTCTCACTGCGTCTGCGTGAGTGCAAGATCCTAACCGCCGCGGTTCTTTAATTATGAGACCAATCACAGAACTTTTCGAACACACCTTGTAATACAGCCATGTAAAGGAAAATATGTCTTGACGGCGAATCGATCCGACGGCGGCGAAACGGCCACGAGGAAACGGCCACGGGGAAATGGCGACGGCGATAAGTCCTAGATACACCGTGTCTACAAAAGTCCTTATCCGGTCGTTCGTAGACATACGGTTCCAGTTACAAAAATGTTTTAAATGGAGGAAGTGCGAAAATAAAGGCTGGACAAGTCTTTAAACTGGTTAAGGGGGTGAGCACATATATATTTATATACTATATTGCTACGAAATGTACAGGCGCGGTAAGAGAGCTTCCCCGCAAAGCAGCTTTAGGGTTGCCATAAAATGGCAAGGGAAGACATGGTTGCCACATTTGGAAAGAAACCGCCCATTTGGCGACACAGTTGGCGATATGCCATGGACGGATGGAGAACCTTTTGGGACGAATTCTTACCGGTTTACCCCAGAACACAAGCCGAATGCTATGTAAACCCTGCCGGTCCGCAGTCAGTTGGTGTGCCTCGTCGAGAGGGCGAATCAGTGAGCCTCATAGAGTACGAGATAGTTAGTATTGAGTTGGTGTCTCGTCTAGTGAGTCAATCCCTGCGGAGTCGATCGAGTTGACAGCCGGGCAGCGAGTGCCAATTGGGTCGTCGAGTGCACCGAAAGAGTCTCTTAGTGTATCGCTGTTAGTGCATCGTCGAGAGAGAGTGTTGAGCTCCGGGAACGACTGAACCGAAGATTCGGGAGCCGTGCTATGTGTGACGTCGAGTGCATCGCGAGTTGTAGCGTGGAGAGTCTCGAGAGTACGTGGAGTTCTGAGAACGACCAAGCAGAGTCGAAAGCTGTACTCTGGTGCTTTGCAGTGAAGCTGTCTCCACCGTTCTAGCCTGATAACCTGAAGGCTGTGTCGTTGATTGTGTCAGCGAGTGTACATTAGTTCTTCGACGACTGTTAAAAGTGTTTTGGAGCTCTCCTGATTGATATTGACTAATATTGGCTAAATAAATTGTGTTTCGGTACTTCATCAAGTGTCGCCGTTATTCACCCCAAATCTGCATGAACCCGTGAAGAAAATAACGTAACAACTGGTGTCAGAAGAAAAACGCAACAATATACATGTATATATTTTTGGTACTGTGGATTCAATAAAAAACGGATTAGCACAGCTAGATGTTATAGTAGTCCCATTGACAAAATTCAGCATCCTACGCTTAATCGTTTTCGAGCTGTGCGAGATACGCTACTATATACGTATGTACAGACATCACGAAAAAAAAAAAAATCCATTTTGATCCATTTTATAATCCGTTTTAGAATAAAGAGTTCTTTATTATTTCCGTACGTACAGATGTCAAGCAAAGAAATAGTCAAAATGGATTCGTGAACAGTCAAATTATATATTTCCATTGAAATTTGATAACCGAAATTTTTCGCTGTTGCACTAATTTCTTTACTTTCTACAAGGAAGAAAAAAATAAATGTCCTAAAAATTGCGAAGCCTTACTTTTGACACACTATTCCGATCCCTACAATTACATTAAAAAAATATACCTTTATAAAAAATGAAACACAAAAGGTTTCACTTCCGTATGGCATAAATTGAGCCATATATTGGATATTAAAATCAAGAAGGCTATTAAGGGGTTCTACACACATTTGCACGTCACCATAAAAGAAATATTTCGAAAAAGGTTTCTGATGTTAAGAGATTAACTAGCGACAATTTCTGTGCAAATTATTGTAAAAAATAAGCATCAATATAATTATTTTTTTCAAAATCGAGATCTCTCCACAGAATCAGCACAGAATTTCTGTTCTAGGAAATACTAGCAAACTTCAGTATGGGCACGTAACCAATTCGTAATATTATTATTTACATTTATTAAAACTAAAATATTTGTGCTTTGCTGAATTTTTTTTTAAGATCGTTTTTCTAAAGTAATAAAACTTCATGAGAATGTTAATAGCATGTTATGAATCTTTGAAAGCTTACAAACTGCTTGTGTATATTTATTTTAGCACAATAAATGTAATAAAACTATAAGCTGAAGACACTGGTGATGCATCCTATCTCTAGGTCTGATAAAGTTTATTCCGGCTTTAGCCATTTTGCTAGCCGAATTTAAAAGCGCGCCTTTAAATAATTGAGATAATTGAAACAGTTTAAGTAGATCACTTTTAGGGCCTCCAGGTATCTTACTTAAATTTGAATTTCAATTTATGTTATTGTTACGAAATGCCCAAGCGCGGTAAGATAGCTCCTTGCAAAGCAGATTTAGGTTTGCCAGAAAATGGCAAGGGATGGAAGGGTTACCATATTTGGTGAGAAATCGACTGTTTGGCGACAAAATTGGCGATATGCCATGGACGGATGAAGAACCTTCTGAAACGAATTCTTACTGGTTTAGCCCAGAATGTTCTCGAACCCAAAGCCAAAAGCTATATAAACCATGCTGGTACGCGGAGAGTTAGTTAGTGAGAGCCCAACGAGTTAGTCCGTGCGGACTCAAGGTCAGTTTACACCTGTCAGAGCGGCTCGGAACGAGTCGCTCGTTACGATTACCTTGACAGTGTAAACGCTCACTTCGACGGAGTAGAAACGTAGGGGAGATGAGTCAGCGCTTCCGTTTCTACTTTGAACCTGTTGAAAATCTATCCGGGCATTTAGTCCGAGCAGCGTTCGCAGGGACGTCGTGACAGTGAGTTCTATAATGCCGAGATGTAAAGCGATAGCCAAACCATGGCACTTTTTTAATGCATACGCATCTTATGAAGTGTTTTAGGGAACACTTCACTGCTTCATTAAGATGTTGCATACTTCTATAATTATGTGAGCTTATATTCGTTTTTCTACAAGCATCCTACATGATGATGCAATAAATATATGATATTATAAACTATAAAAATAAAAATGGAATTATGAAAAAAAAAATAAATAGATCTGTTTTATTGTGGATATTTAAATTTCTTGCTTTGTATAAAAGCATTCTGGGCTATAATTCGTTACAATTCAGCTTGGACGTGAAACATGTTCAGCATGGATGTGTGAGTGTACTGAAGGTGTATTAAGGCTTATACAAATTATGCTAGATGAATTCTAATCTTCTTAAACTATCCGTTTTAGCATTTTAAAAGTAAAATATAATCACTATATTTAACCATTATTAATTTTGTTGATATCACTTTGTGTGTTGTCCAGAAACACAATTTAAGTAGGATCCAAAAGTAAGAATTTGAGATAAATATCTTCCTGTTGGAACTATGTCATAATATACATATTCTTTTACCTGTGGTAATATATGCAATGCTCCTAAGTTTTTTGCTACTTATTTATTTAAGATTTTCTGAATAATTAGGTAGATATTATACATTTTACTTCTGCCGTTGCTTTGAATAAATATTTTATGTGTTAATTTTGCATTCCTCTCTAGAAATAACACAGTTCCAGTCAGAACTCTGCATAATTAATTACATGCACAGAGAGCTATTGATTCTGTGGATTCTGGATGAATAAATATATTCTCTCTATTAATAAATAATAAAACACATTATTACTTTTACCTTATTTTGTAAATGATTAATTAGATGTAAATAAAACAGTTGTATATAGTAGAAAAACTTCGTTAATTTGAATTTCAGTAACCACAGTTGACTAAATAACTTCTCTCAAACTGAGTTTCGTTTAAATTCTTCTATCTGATATGCAATAACGTTTTTGTAACTTTGGACATTCTCGTCCGAAATTCATTTAATAGTTCATTTGATACTCCTAATAATTCATCGCGGCAAGCTACCCAGTCACGTACCCATTTCCTTTTCTTCTTCTTTTTTTTTTCCCTCGCAAGAGCAGAAATTAATACGTTTGAAACTGCTTCCCAGATTTCAAGCACTGCAGCCAAAGAACATCTATGTATGTTCAATGTATATTCTTTCCTGCAGCTGCCATGTCGGTATCCATTTTGTAAACAAACGGAGGCGAGTTGTCAGTCCACTCTGATTGGTGTAAACAATCTATCAGAGTACAAGTCCGTTCACTCGGTTCGAAACGCACGGACGAGCGACTCGCTACGAGCGGCTCTGACAGATGTAAACTGGCCTTCAATCGAGTTGATAGTCAGAGTCAGTGAGAGCCGAGTTGGTCGTCGAGTACTCCAAAAGAGTCTCTTAGTATATTCGCGGTTAGTGCATCGTTGAGATAGTGAGAGTTGGAACGAGGAGTAGGGAGCTGTAACTTTAGTGTATCGTTGTATCGTGGAGTGCCTCGCGAGTTGTAGCGTGAAGAGTCGCGAGAGTACGTGGAGTTTTGCAGTGAAACTGTCTCCACCGTTATAGCTTGATAACCTGGAAGCTGTGTCGCTGATTGGGTCAGCTTGTTTGTAGTAGTTCTTCCACAACTGACAACTATAAACGTATTTTGGAACTATCCTGAGAATACTGACCAATAAAGTATGTTTCGGTACTTCATCAAGTGCTGTTGTCATTATTCACTCCAAATCAGAATGAACCCGTTTCGTAACGAACGTCAAGAAGAAGAAAATAACGTAACATTATATTAAATAGCCACAAGTGGCCAAATTTTATTCTGTAGCACAAATGGTGCCTTTAGTTAAATTCCAAGAGTTAATAAACAAATTGATTCCTAAGAATTTGTCATTTTGATTCAGACTAAATCGATAATTTACTTGTCAGTCTGCAGAGTCATTGAGCTATTTTGAAACAGGAGACGTGAACAATGTGCAGTGCTCTCGCCGGGACTCGAACCTGGACCTCTCAAGTACGCGCCGAGTGTCCAACCAGGAAGGCATGCTAGAAGGAGAGATAAAAGTGGGATCCGAAGGATATTAATTTAAGATTCTGTACAAACAGCATCCTACACTGTCACCAATTTTTATTTGTGCTTAGTATGCTTTGATATTTCATCATGACTAATTACACACTTCAAGAATATTATTTTGAGCAAAAAATTATCTTCTTAGATGTAGCTCATTTCTGTTTGATTAGATATTTTAACGAATAAAATCGTCGTGTTTGGTGTGAAACCAGTCTATGAGAGATACACCAGAAGCACTTGCATTCGGAAAAAGTATATTGTATAATGTGGTTTATAGTACAGTGGCATATTGGACCCCATTTTTTACCCCAAAGCGACGGAGGATATGCAGTTATAATCAGTGATGTGTAATACCAATTAAATATTTTGTGGCTAAATCTAGAGGACATTATATAAACAAGACGGTGCGACATGTCATATTGCTAACGCCACTATCGACGTATTGGAAAAAGAAATCACGAATGCAACTTTAGCCCCCTCCAGAAGTTTTAGATTAATTTTCTATTAATCAAATTTAAGGGCTTACTTCAAATCAATGAGCTACGCGAACGAGCCATGAGCTCTTGATCCTTAAGAATAAACATCGAGCCATATATTCGGGACATTAGGCCCGAGTGCAGTCACTGAAAACTGGGTTCATCGAATTCGCTCGCGTGTACTTCGTTTAGGTGGACGCTTAAATGATATTTTATTCAGGGCATAACAGAATAAGTGTTCTTCGAAATGATATAAAATATTTAATTGCACTTGAAATAGTTTTTATTTGATTTCCTTTTAAATTCCCAGCGTTGCTATTAGGACACGCTGTATTAATGAATTCCTTTCTTTAGTGACGTAAAATTTAACATTTTTATAGATTTACGCAAAGGTGTTTATAAGGTACAAATAAATGCATATCATTAAAAGAAGTTTATAAAATTTTCACTGTAAAAGAATAGTAAATGTTACCCCTGCCGAATGCACTGGACCTTTAGGAAGGCCAGTGGTGCCGGAAGTGAAGTAGACGCATACGGGATGACTGAAAGGGAGCTGTTCGAAAATTATGTCCGGAACAGTGCCATCTGGATTCCGTCCACTATTCAGAAAATCTTCGAGGAAGTAACTAAAAACATAATATAAATAATAATTAGTATTAATCTCAGTTGAAACAATCGGCTTTCGATTTAAGCAAAGTGTAATTGATCTAGTTATCCGATAGAGCATCGGAGCATTGAGTAAAATGCTAATAATATTGGCACTTCATTTAAGAACTTTCCAAAGCGTTGTTTTATTGCACTATTTCCTTGCCTAATTTTACACAGTACCTATTTTGTCTCCAAACGTTTTAGCGCCAGGTTCTAAAAATTTATAAAACATTTTATCATTTTCCCCTTCCGCACTGCGTTCAAAGAATTAACTTTCTAAATTTCAAAAAATGGATTCACCTATGTAGGTATTGTTTTCGTCTTATTGACAAAGACAAACCCTTGCAAACTACCTGCGAAGATCAAGCCGAAATTTTCCCTTCTGCACAAGGAAATTCAATTAGCTAATTTTTCTGAGGCTTTCCTATGCTCAATGAGAACATAAATGCTTAAGTCTTCGAAAGAAAAAAAAAATTGGTGAGCAATAAATTATAGAATAAATCCTTAAAAACGCTCACCTGTTTCTAATATGTGATACTCCTTTGGTTTTTGTTTCCTTTTTTGAAGGAATGATAATTATCTTCTCCAATGAAGGGCAACCTAAAAATTTTAAACAAAATGCATGACTATTACACATATACTACGCATTTTAAGATAATTACAAATAGCATTTTCATTTCTTTCTTTAAAGTAAGTCCCAGAACCTTTACATTTTTAAATAATTTAAAAATAAATTGAATAGGCTGAAAGCTGAATGACAAATGAGTTAAAATTATATGTATTCTTACGGCAGTGTTAGAGATTGTGATTAGAGTAGTGATAGCCACATTGATAGGTCTTACAAGTAATCTATGGTGCATGAGTGTAAATGCATGTGACATGTATAAGTATAGGGGTCGCCTATTTATTCTCCCTAAGCAGGTAGGTATTATCTATTTATATTACTTACATAGAAAACTAACACACTCTTGGCTCCCTTTAAAACAGTGTCGACGGGAGTTGCTTGCATGCTGGCCGGTATGCCGTCCTTTTTGACATTTTATTCATTTTAGTACCATACGTTTAAATTAACGTTCACGAAATGTTGATTTTATTTACTTACGGAAGTTTTACTGCATCTTATACATATTCTCCTGTCTTTAGTATTAACCATATACATTACGCATTAAGAAAAACAATGGAATATTAGAGACCTAATGTTTGCGTAGGAGAATTGGTTATAGTATTTACTGACGGTTCGGGTTGTGACAATGAAATTAGCGCAGTATATTTGCTTTATTTGCTTGGCATAAAAATAGACAAACACAAAATTAGACTTGAACCTTACAAACCGGTTTTCCAAGGCGAATTGCCTTCTATTATATTTGCTCTTAAATAGATTGATAAAAAGCTGACTGTAAAAACATATACATACAGACTCACTGTCTGGTTTGGAAGTACTAGCAGATGCTGATAACACTAATATTTCGGTCTTATAATTGAAAAGATCTCCTTGTAAACGTTGAGAAAATACACGATGGGAAAATTAACTGAGAGAAAGCCCATATTGGTGTTATAGGCAACGAGAGGGCAGACATGCTGGCCAGAGAGGCTGCTCTGATGGGCATGCGTTCGAAATTCAGGCATAATAAAGAATCGTTATTGGTCAAATCAAGAATTTCTATTATGATTTCTGTAATGAACAACATAACATTTCGGAAAAAAAGAAAGACTATTTGTTGAACTTTGAAGTTCCTAAAATATAAGAATGATATGCGATTTCTATTACAATCAAATAATTACTGGACACGGGTGCTTCCCGGCGTGCCTGAAAAGATTTAATTTGCAGTTTTTGTGGTGCTAAAGGTAATGCATTACATTTCGCCGAAGATTTCGTATTATTGCGACATGTTAGGGAAAAATATGGCAACATAAAGGAATTCTATTGCCGCAGGAAAGAGTTTAGATTTGCAAAGCATTTGATGAACTTTATAAATGGCAACAGAATAAAATTGGGAATTTTGATTTGATGTTTTTAACGGTATTTTTGTTCTAATCCGTGTTGGATGTGCATTGTTAACCATGAGACCAATCATTAACGCCAGGAGATTTGCGGCATACTCGTATATTTCATTACAATGACATTGCCCACTTGGCGTGAAATAGTCATGATAAAATTTTGGCTCCAGACAACACCGCAAACTCTATCACCGCTGACGGTGTCACTGGCACTCTTTTAAATGTTAATATAGCTCAAGAGCAAAATACATTACATTATATAGCAAGACATAAATTGTAAAGGTGCGTGTTTCATGACATTATATATTGTACTAAGTTCAGGCTCGCTTTACAAATAATTGTTACAAACATGTGCTGTTTACATTAATGTTTGCAATCAAAATGAATTTAAAACTCTAAATGTTTTTACGAAACGTACCTCCATCTGCATATTTATGCTTATTACGTATGTTTAGGTAATGCTGTATATTTAACCAACTCAATTTTTCCAATACATAATTTTGACATTATATGCGATTACGTATGCTTTCGCAATAATTAATGTACAAATATTACATTACATGGTTCTTTTTGAGAGAAAGTATGTTCATGAAGGTAGATGTAGCGGTAATTAGTTACGCAGAAAAACCGTAATAAGGGAAAATTAGCATAGTATATTATAGCATGTTTCGAATAAACATAAGAGAAACATCTTTAATTTGAATTTACTTACTGTTTGCTATAATAGGTATATTGTCCATCAGATTGTAATCTTTTCCCATGTCTAGATGATGATCTACAGTAATCAAGAACTTGGCCTCCATCTTTCGAATAATGTTTGCTGATGCCTAGAATATAAAGAAATACGTTTATTAATTAATTCTTTAACCAATTAACATACTTAATTTTCTATGTCAATCTAAAATTTTGAAAACAGAAAAATGTTAATTTAAGTATATTTCTTGTTCATAAAAATGCATTACTACATATTTAAGGTTTAACAATGTTCTGCTGTATTAACTAGAAATGTACCAAATGGCAATGAACCTGAACATAATTGTTGATTTAAATTGCATGATGTATTCTTCTCCCTGATTTCAGGAGTAAATAAATTTCAATAACTAACAACGAAGCAATTTTTCATTGCAACCTGAATTCGGTTCTTTGGTAATAGTGAAATACTGATTCACATTGTGGCTTTTGATATAAAATACTTTAGAAATAATGATATTTTTGTTTTACGTTTTACTTCGAAACCGGAAACAAATAAAATCAAGAATTTCCCGGCTGGGATTCTAAAACACATTCTCTTCTGCTACCAGTTATACAACGACACCGCTACCAGATATATCAGGACTACTATTTCTCCTTATCTGCTTTTCGAACATGTAAGTGTCCTGAATAGAACGATGATTTTAACTAAACTATGTTCATCTTAATTGCAGAATAGACGACAAGAAAGGGAAGGGTTTAACTAACCCTTTATTCTTTACAATTTACAGGTACTCTTGCACTAGATCACCACTTGTGGTCTGAATATAAGAAAATAAGAACTACAACTAACTAAATTTAAATAATACTTTACACAGACGAATAACACTAAGAGTGGCCTTTTAAATTTTTACGCATGTAGTGCAAACTGCGAGAAAATTACAATACGTCTTCAATATCAAGAGGACTAAACCTCTGGCCTTAAAGGCGGACAGAAACTGATTGACAACACGTGAAAAGGCTCATTCTCTCTCTCTCTCTCTCTTTCTAACTCTACTTGGCGAAAAGTCACAACTTAAATACTTAAGCGTTTGCAAGCACAATTTACATAAACAGAACAACGCGGTTATTCTGGCCGTAAGTGGAAAATAATGACGACAGTAAAGTTTTAAAATAAAATAGACGTTAGTAAAACTTAAGATTCTTAGCAAGGAAATATGTGAATTCTTATAACTTCAATAACAAAAATCTGACATGGGCATCACAGGACTTCATTGCACAGCCTTTTAAATTATAAATATTTTTTGCTACGCTTTATTGAAGCTTATTTTCTCCAGTTAATCTAATTTCATTAATCGATCCCTCAAGAAAACTTGAAAATGACATAAAAAATTGCAAATTTTCAAATTAATTATCCCTGTCAATTTTTGACATCGGGGGTCGAATTTCTTGTATTTTTTTCATAAGTATTAAAACTTTCCAAAATATGTATGCTTGATACGTAGGTGCGTATACAAAGGCGTCACGAAAACGTCCCCTTGAATCCAATTTACTATCCATTTTAGAGTAAACAATCCTTACTCTCTCCGTACATATATATGTCCAGCAAAAAGTAATCAAAATGAAATTGGGAGCGGTCAAAGTGAATACGTCAATTGGAATCTCATCTATTGAAATTTTTCCGGGTACAATTCTTCTTTTACTTTGTACACGGAAGTGAAAAGTAACTGAAAACTCTTAGAGTGAAAATGCTGGATCGATTTCCAATTTTTGTTCTATTTCAATTTGAAAGGAGACATTTTCTATGTCTGCGGTAGAAAGCGTAAAAGAAGAAGAAGCAAAAGTAATAGTAGTAGTAGTAGAATTGAACTGATGGTAGGATAAAGAGTCATTAGTATTTTTTAAAGCAGAAGATGTAAAAAATGTACAATGTCCTCGCCGGGACTTGAACGAATACGGACCTTTCGAATACGCGCCGAGTGTGCTACCGTTGCACCATGAAGGTGTGCACAAAGGACAGAGAAAAAACCTTATATACTTTCCGTTTTAAAGGGCGACTGGGGATAAGGGGACCCAATCGCCAAATCCGGGTGGTGAAGAATCATGATCCACAAACTTCTAGTTCGGACGCCACTGTAGATTTATTAGGTTTTTTTATGCTGCGAAAGTGAAAGATTAGTAGCGTCCTCCCCGGGACACGAACCTGGATCTCTCGAATACAAGCGAAATGTGCTAACCGTTACACCACGAAGGCATGCAAGAAAGAGAGAGAACGTAACTTATAAGGAAACAGTAAGTGGCAACAATGTGAAATAATAGGCTCTTTCGATTTTTTTATGCAGCTTGAATGCGAGTATTGAGAATTTAGATTATATTATTTTGTGTTTGAGGTTTCAATAAACTCATTTTAAAACTAGATTGCGTATCTCTTGATGAGAGTTATCAATCACTGAACCGGCACATGTCGAATTTTAGATATGGCTGATAGATTCATAGACTTTGGAGATAAATCGCGCCATTATTGGTCACCTTCTATTTGTAATAATATGTCTTTGTAACCTATTCGGTAAACTAAAATAAAAACAGGTAAACATTGGTGACGCTCTGGCACACATTCCTGACTCTTTCTCCGTCAACCGATAAATACCATTTATATTTACAATTGCATGCAAGCAGAAATATTTATACTTTCAAACAAATTTAAACTTATATATAGGTGGAAATATTTAAATATTTATATAAAAAAACTAAAAAAAAAAAAAAATTGTAAACATTTATCCCGAGCAGGCATTCTAATGCTATGTTGATAATAGTTTGAATTTTTGGTTATGACAGAAATCAGTTTATTTATTTTTCTTATTTAGGAAAATTTTAATTTTTATTTAATTCTTTGAATTATTAATTTAATGTTTATTATTTATGATTAATTTAATATTCGGTTATGTAAATTCCTTAATTTTGGGGAAAAACAGATGCTTCAATGAAGTTTTATTATTTTTCCTTTTATTTGAATTTAATCAAGATTTCTGTGTCCTTTGTGAGGGATCAAGGAAAGAGAATGAATTTTCGCCTAGTCATTCTCTCTCAGGGTGACGTTATTTTCGTAGAAATTTCTAAATGAAAATTGCTTTGTTTCGGGTGCCCTTTAGGAAAGGAAGTACGTGGCGAGGGGTCGAAGGTTGTCATCTTACCTACAGTCGTTTAATTGGTGATCTAAGTGTCCGGTTGTTTGGCCACTGTAAAGAAGCGGCGCATGTGCAGTATGCATTTTCTATTCTTTTAGGGTGAAAAATGGAAATTTGGTACTGAAGGGGGGCGAAACATGAAGCCTATATGGTAGCCTTGTTTCTTTTGAAAGAAGGGAAGGAGGATCTCGATGATAGAACACTTTTGCTCGGGTCGTGGTAAGTGATGGTCGTTTTAAAGTGAGATGCGAAGGCTAAGAAAGGGCGGGAGAGCTGCATTTATGCTCCCGACTTTGTTCCTCGTTATGCTCGAGCAAAACAGAGTTCTAGATGTTTAGAGTGATAGTAGTTGTACTCCCAGCTGGTAAAATTTGACTAGACTAAAAAAAAAAAAAAAAAAAAAAAAAAAAAAAATGGATGTTCTGTTTTTAACTTCTTGTCCTTCTTATCTCTTTTGTCGAGGGCTTCCATGGCCGCCATTATGCCTTGTGGTTGCGTATTCTGAAAACGAGGCTATTCCCTTGTGCTATGAAGAAAGTTTAATCACCAAGAAGGTTATCTCCCCGGGAAGTTTAACTTGCTGCCTTAAGGAGTTCATCATCTAATGGAGTGTTCCACGAGAAGAATACCGGAACTGTACGCATGTGTCAATGCTCAGTGTCGCATCGTCGTTTTGTGTGCTGTGTTCCTGTCTTTGAGTTGAATGTTCTATGTGAAGAGTGCCGGAACTGTGTTCTTGTGTTGAACGACACATATGGCATGACGCCTCGTCTCCCGCCGAGAGCATAGATGAAAGTACGGCTTGTTATCCGATGGCCTCCTTGTACCTTTCTGTCAAAAGCTAAGTTCTTTCTCCCTCTTTATATTCTTCCACAGTTATGATAGAGACAGATGTTGATTAAGAAGCCTACTCTAAGGTCATTAATTGAAGGTATATGCTTAATTGTATTTAAAAATTTAAATTCTTATGAGAAATTCGTTTCAGTCCTTGGTCCTACGGAGCCTCTATTCTAAGCTGTATCCTCAATAATTCATAGTTTTAAAGTGAACTTTTCCCGAATTAATTATTTCGTTAATTTCTCTAAATTAATTGTTGGTTCTGCTATAAACACATGTTTAACACCTGAAGGTGTAACTGGAAGGAACTGTAATAGCTTATCTTCCGCCTTATGGTTTGTTTGAACTATGTTGATTGTAACACACCTGTTAAATTTACTAGAATTATGAATTAAGTAAATAGAAATTATATGGTTAGACAATAGCTATGTAAAATTATGATAATGATGATTCTTTGAGATTTCCATCCTGTTGACCTGAGAGTAATTAATAAACCCAGAATTAATTTGAAATTTATGTCGTGTTTGTTTCAGTGAAGTACATTTTTTTGGCTCGTCCGATCCTTACACAGCTCGATCCCGGAAAAGACATTGGTCACAATGCGATGTCTATAACTTGATACGATCATAATTAGATAGTTTAAGGTTGATTAAGTTACCTAACTTATTCACGGCTTCACCAGATAAATATTATGAAGACACAAAAACTCACGATATTACATTGGTGCCATTTGTAAATTACAGTTTCACCTGTCAGTTCTGTGTCGGTATTTTTATTACGATACCGTCCAGAAACTGAACACTAAAGTCAAGGGCCACTGTAAGCTTATGTTAGCTCTGGCAATAAGCGGGGAACGTAATCGGCAATGCAGCTAGAAAGCAACTAGACATAAAGAAAATGAGGAAAATGTTATCATTTTAATCCCTTAAAGGCTGTTTTAAATCAAATGGGAACAGAAACGAACTCAACGTTAATTGTCAGTCATTCAGGAATTTAACGCTCATGCGCTAGATTTTGCATTCAAAAATTGATAAGAAATGTCGAAACTTTAAAATCAAAACGACAGTTTAATTATTTCCAAGTCAAACGATTTTATTTTAAAACGTTACTTACCCTTGATCCATAGTAAGGCGTCGGTCCACCCCATATAGCGCCGATACTTGTGGTTGCTAGCATGGCACAAATTGCTTCTTTCCTGTTTGACATATAACCTGCAAAGACGTTCTAAGGCTTATAAAGAGGATCAGGATTAATTTTCTGTTAACTGGGCCCCATTTTGCGCCAAATATAAAAGTTGGCACGAAATCTGTCTAGACCGCGCCAACATTAACGATGCTTAAAATTTAATGGCATAAAGCAAATTTGTAATTATAGAAATGTATCATACAATACAATACATATAACGATAATTTGTGCAATACTCAGTTGGTTTTTCAAACAAAATCAGATAGCCGTATAGCACATAAAATATTGCACAGCTATTCATTACGCCATATAAAAAGGCTACTACATTTGGTGTTTTGGCTCATGTTTGACTATTGGAGCCTGGTCAACAGAGCAAGATCAGTTTCAGCTTTCAAATCTGTAAGGAATATGCAAATTTTATGCTATTGTAATATTAAAATAAAGATTAAAAGCCTCTCTTCTCAAAATGATAAAAATTTTGATTAGAAGAACATTTTGAAATACACCAAACTTGTTTTTGTGTAGTTTATAGGAACCGCATAAAAACTTCACAAGTGGATACAAAAAATAGAGTCGTTTAGAGTTGACTTGTTTTCAGTTACCATGTAGTCCGTGATCAGTTTTTACGACTGTTGTTTCTCTAGACTCTTTTATATGTCTTGGTAGCCAGATATACAAGATTCATAGTCCTTTTTTTATTGATTATTTATTTCCTTTTTATTGACAACTTGTTCCAATTTGATCGAACTTTTCATATACCGCACAAGAAAAAAAAATCGCACTGGAAAAATTGCACAAATAAACAAATC